GGACCTTAAAAATCATCTATTTCCAACCCCCTGTCATGGGCAGAGATACCAAGTAAAATCTCCCTGTATTAAAGCAGTTTCTTTCATGCCAGGCCACCAGAAAAATGTATTATCTAACTAGTCCTTTAATTACAAAAGCCATAAGATCAAATGCAGACACAGTAAAAATAGATTATACCACAAATACCTATTTTTAAACAGCTTTGGGACTGTTTATGGAGCTCTCAGGACTCAGGTAATTTGCTGAGATTCAATTGGAATGGTGCCCATATTTATATTTAGAAATAAAAAGCAAACTTAAATCTACACTAATGTCATGATAGCAAAATGAGTAAATTTATCACTGGAGATCTTGTTTAGCTCTTGCTATTGCAGATGTGGTAATTTTGAAGCACTTGGATCATGTGTGAGTCCCATTAGTCCACAACACCTGACTGTAAGCAAAAATCCTCCATTACACAACTGCATAGCAAACATGCCTTTAAAAACTCAGCTCCTAAAAGCAAAAATGTTTGAAAAGTTGAGTAAGTTTAAAATACAAACTGATTTCTAAACTCAAGACTGAATTTTTATGGCCCATAATAGATATTTCCAACTTGATAACAGGTATTTAATGTTAAGGATCTGTTCCTCTGAAAGGCATTTTATTGAGCACAGATTCAGTGCACCTCCCACCTCCTTGCATTTTAACATTTATGATATTCTCACCAATTCACAGATGCAAGCATATCAAAACCCAGTTTATTCAGACAACTGTCACATCCAGAATGACTGACAATGCTCTCAGGAAAGCAAATTTGCTTTGACTGAAGGTTTTTATTTGAATGTGGTTCAGGTAAATGAGGATTGTGCACTCAGAAACCAAACTAATCCTCCAGATTTTATTTATTATAATCAGTGCAAAGGTAAAATTATTTTAGCAAGGTAGACTAGCAAAAGTGAGTCTTTAAGCAGAGCTGTATCTCCAAGCAGAAGACACAATATTCCTAAAACAATAACCTTTTATTAGAATTCTGATGCAATGAAAAACATCCACATCCTTAAACCCATATTTTAAATTAAATTGTCTGAATGCCATATGAAAATTTAAAAAAAAAATCATTTAAAAATAGCAACACTCTATTAGCACAACTCCTTTTTCCTCTTGTAAAAGTTAAACAATTCCATGGCAAAAATCTTCAAAACTTAATAGAAAGAACCTTAGCAGAATAGTTAACTCTGTGCAGAAATTCACTTAAGCTAATTTAGAGAAAAAATTATTCCTGAATTGGTCTTCTTTTAATAATTTCATAGCCCAGGGCCAGGAGAAAGGGCAGGGATTATTGTGCAGCAGCAGTGCTGGATGCAGATTTTAATGGCACCCTGTGATAAATGTCACCTAAAACTGTTCTTTATTATAGCAATATTGGCAAACTTACAAAATGTAAGTGTATTTTTGGAAGAGGAACCAACATTTCTAGAAACTGATTTCTAATTATTATTTTGTAGGCTCTCTAAGCAAAGCAATCCACTGAAAGGACAATCTCTGTCCTTAAAATTCAGTGGCCAGAAACAATAAAGTGGAGTGCTGAGCTCAGGAGAGAGGAACCACACAATGTTCCTGCACACTGAGGAATCTCCAGCAGCAAGAACACACAGGAGCAGAGTGAAATGTAAAACCAGAGGAGGGGGGCAGGAATTTATTATTATTACTTCCATGACCTGATAACAAAACCATTTTTACTGGAAAAATCTGGGGTTGTAATGCAGCCCATTAAAGTGTAGCTTTTCATTTCCAGCCTTAGCAAACAAACAGAATGCAGTGAAACATCTTCGAAATGGGTTTTATTTTTCTGAACCTGGCTGTACATTTCACCATCTGATTTTTCCCCAGCTGGAATACTGCAATGTTGAGCAATCCCTCTCTTCCCTTCTGCACCTCTTGCCCAGTCTGAATCTGACTGGAAATTAGTTTGAAAGAAATTATTTTAAAGGCATGACCATGTAAGCACAAATATTCTACAAGGTACAGCAGCAACCCCTGTAAAAAAGGCAAATTGAAGAGGTGGAATGACACCCCTTTGTAGTAATTGGAGCTCTGTTATCCAAATTAATTAATCTCTCCCAGCTCCAGCCCACTCACCTAAAGCCACAGGGAACACACACAGGGGTTTTTTTGCCTTTTGTTTTTTTTTTTTTAAGTTGTGAGTTTGAGCCAAACTGATCAAAAATGCCACTAGAAGTGATACTACAGATTGCTCCTTCTGAGTTAAATTTCCTTTGTGAAACCACTGGTAGAAAACACAACAAAAGCTCAATTTCCATGACCTGATTGCAGCCACTGTGAGGGTGTGAAACTCCTCAGTTTTAATTTTCACCATGAGAAGATGCAAACAGAATAAGCAAGTTTGGAAAAAGACAGATGTAGAGCACACACATGCAAAGTATACAGAAGTGAACCTACTGTAGTGCTCAGTGGTTCTGGGGGCATTTTCTTTGTGGGTTTTTTAGGGGTTTGGATGTTTTTTTTGCCTTTCTGTAGGGGCCGCCTGTTACCAAGGAATTAACAAAACTACAAAAAATAAGCAAGCAGAAGTTCACTTTTCTCCTTGCTAAACTACAACCACAACTGACACAGAAAAAATGATATCTGTGTCTAAACGGGAAAAGAACTATTAATGGATTTTCCTCTCAGACATAATGTGCAACCAAGACAAGTTCAAAACCAAAACTTTGCTGGGCAAGTCTAACTTTGGAAATAGCAACACCTGTATTTATTTTTTCCCATGAAAACCCCTGCACTGTTCCCTGCGACAGACAGAGTTATTCCATCTGCCAGTCACAACCACACGTCCCAGCAAGCCCAGAAACCCCCCAGTCTCTCCTTTCCAGGACTTTTATTTCCTTTTTTCCTCCTTCCACTGAACCACAATGGAATTATTTGTTCCAATCTCACTGGCTGGATCTCGGCAGGACAGAGTGGCACCAGAGAGGGAACTGTCATTGCTCCTTTTTGGAAGGAGAGATGTGGAAGGTTGTAAATGTGGTCCCAGGATTTTCATGTTGTAGTTCACTGCTCAGAAATGTCACAGCCACATTTTTAGGCACCTTCTGGAGTGCAGATAAGTTTCTCACTAGATGTCACCTATGTTTCTAAACCTCATGAGAAAATTTGCATGCAAGTTGCAATGAGATATTTGATCAGGATTAACATTTTCTGCATCCTATTCTCAATTCTTACCCCTGGAAATTTTACTTTATGGCTTCCTTCTCTTACAGAACCCTTACAGCTGGCCAGAGTTTGGAATTGAAGACCCAGTCCTTTTCTCACAGTGAGTTCTCCAAAGTCAATCAGCTCCTTAAATTTAAAAGCCAGGCCCCACTGGAATATCACCTGACTCAATGAAATTCCAAACACAGATGTCAAAGTAACTACATAAAGCAGAAAATCAGTCAAAGGGATTTTTAATTAGCTGTGTCCCCTATTTTTGCTGAGGAAATCCCTGGTTTTGACCCAGGTTCAATTATCTTCTTGGCTTTCTCAGCTGCAGCAGATTTTGTCCAGTCTCCTCTGGTCCCTGGGAAGCTTTGCTTTGTCACCACTTGGTGACAAATGTCTCCTCAAGTCACAACAGAGAGAAACCATCTCTCAAAATGATACTTCTCAAGATAGGGAAAAAACCAAATTTTGATCGAGGAGTTCTTTCATGTCTGATCTGAGAGCAGAAACAAGCCCTGAATTAAAAATGATCCTGGAACTGTAGCAGAATCTACTTCATAATATGAACAAATCAAGTATTTTTTTTTTTTCCCATAAGATCATGCATATGGCAAATTAAAAATAATTAAGCACTACCTTTGTCACTAAGGAGGGTAAAAGAATTTGCCTTTACTCTTCTGTTCCTCTAAAAGAATTCCTCAGCCAACATCAACCTAACCCCAGCTCACTGAGGATCAGGTGGATTAGCATGGCTTATTTATGACTCTCTTCTGCCAAACATATCCAAACCAAGCTTTTGATTTTATGCCAAATAACTTCAACTGTAGATTTTTAAGACTGCATTTTTTACTGTAAGACATGTTTCAAATGAAAAGTTGCAAAACACAGTTACCATGAGCTTTGATGAAAAGGGAAAGCAGAGCAAATGCATTTCACAAAGTGTGTGCCACTGGAATATCGTAAGCAGAGACGTGAATGAAGGAAACACTGCCACTGATTAACTTCTCCAATTTTCTCAAAATCAGCTTTGCAGGAGGAAGCAATTGCTCAGTAAAGTGGACAAAGTTCAGTCCAATACTATTGTCCTCCTCAGGAAAATGAAGGTATCTTAATGTATTTTTACTTTTAAGACTACAAACACTGGAAGTTCCTACCAGAGCAGAACACATCCACGAGCAGTGCTTGGAAATGATGATCAGCTGAACACTCAAAGTCTTACCTGTTAAGAAGCTAACACTCCTCACGGCACCACCTACAATGTATTATTTGTACTTACAGCTGTAAGAATTAAGCACACTTAGCGCAGGGATGTTTAAATGCCATTTCAAAGACAACAGGAGCCCTTAGAGCACCCAGTGG